CCAATTTCTAACCAGACTCAGATAAATAACTTTAGCTCAGTGTGTAAGACTGTCTTTTCTCAAAGGAGCTTTTTCTGTCTGGACAGCAATATCACAAAAAATATGTTGTTGTGGCATGTGCCAGCCAATAAATTCTGTCACTGGGGATCTTCATTTATTTACATTGAGTCATCTAGTTAACATTGACTTTAGAAGACAAAGAGTTTGAACATTATAAAGAGATCTTACAATATGAAAGGCAATTGTAATGAATTGCTAAGGTAAAACATGTTACCAACTCAGTAACCCTTATAAAAGGAGAACATTTATCTGTTTCTCTGCCTCAACCTACATTTCATGTTAATGGTTTGGCTTCCTTCTTGTGATTATGACATACTGCTTCTTGCATTTATCTTCTCTATCCTAAAACCTGCTTGTAAAAATATTATACCTGCTGCAGATGTGTTCCTTTAAAAACAACGACAAAAGAGGTGATAGCTAATTGTGGCATTGTTAGGGCATTTAAACCTGTCCTGTTTCACTGCATTCATCTTTCTAGAAATAGACATCTGAATAATATGGAAGAGGAAATACAGGAGTATGCCATTTACTCCAAAAACATCCTTTGTTTTTAGAAAATGCCTTGTATCAGGCTGCCCAGGACCAAGCACCAGCAGTGCATGTGTTGGCACTCTGGCACTGGTCATTTCCCAAACCCTGTCTCTGTTTTCTCAGTTGTAACACTGAGGTTGCATTGTGCCATGACCTGGCCATAAGAATTTAATTAACACTCGGAAAATATTCAGATACTACTAGAAAATGATATAACACCAAATACAAAATGTTTCTGGGGAAAAAAAAGATGTTTTCCTTCTCCATGCTTCAAAGTTAGTCTTTCCTTTTATGTAGAGAAAAAACTGCTTGTGAAATTTTCAAAGCTACCTCAGTGCCTTTTCCAAAAACACTTCTGTTACCCAGGCTCTTTTGAACGGTTTCTTTTTTGGCTCCACAGTCGTCTGGTATATGTAGCCTAAACTCTTCATAACAAATAGAGTTCAACAGAGGAGCTTTTGACACTGGGTGAATCTAGATGACCAGGGTATTCCTGGATCTACCAAAAGCATTTACATCATCATCAGAGGACAAATAGTGGGGGTTTTTCTTAGATTTGTAATAAAAAATTGATAAAACAGAAATAAAACATGGATAAAATGTTAAAAATACTGATCCCCTTTGTAAAGAAATCACTGATAACAGCAGTATATATTTTATTCTTAAAAAGTAACTTTTTTCTTTTCACCACACATAGCCAGAAAATCTTCTTGCACGATCAATCTTTGTAAGCTACAAAGTTGACTGCAAAGTGGATATATGCTGAAGGATATGGGTATAGATCCTCAGTGTGTTCTGTAGCAGGGATACACACAGAGTGGGAAATTCTGCCCCACCAAAATCAATAAGACTAGCACCATCAAATTCAACAGGATCAGAAATTCAGTTTTAACCTTTACAGTGCAGCTCAATGGAGGTTTAAGTCCTTCAAAAAAAAAAAATAATCAAGCTTCTAATCTTAAATACCCTTTGAAATCTGAAGTGTCTCCTAAGCTGTTGCTTCTGAACAAGAAAACTACTGTAGCAGTAACACAGGAAGACAGAAGGAAAAGTAACAAAGAAAAAGAGAAAAGAACAGTTTCCAGACCCAGCTTTATCTAGGCTGGCTTAGTTTATCTCTTCTGGGAGAAGCTCCTTCTGACATACCTGAAGTGTGGAACAATACAGTGAAAGTCAGCTCAAGATCTGGAAAGTAGCTGAAATTGTAGTCTAAAAGCCATGTATCATTCTTATTTAAATATTTAAACATGAGCTAAGCGAACTGCCCATCTCCAGAGACCACCTCTGAGCAGAGTCAATGCTCAGCCTTGTGTGAAGATAACACAAGCTGCTTTAGAGTGACTTCTCCAAAATATATTTTTCCTTTAAATAGCGAAGTAATTAGTTAGTAAATCTGATTTTTGAGGCTGAGGAAAAAACTGTAGGAGATTTCCATCAAAACATATCTCCTTAATTGAATAACTTGCTAGACTCTCTAGTTAAAGTTTAAATAACTGTTAATGACTTTGAAGCAATCAGAAATGTTTTGCCAAGGGGAAATCAACAGTGTATGAAGATAGTTCAGTAGTATTGCTGAATGTTAAAGGCAGCTTCTGAAGATCATATGTTTACAAACTAAAGAAGTTAGGTACATCTGATCACTCTGAAAATTATACTGACGCTTTTAATGCCATTTTTCTTCTGTCTATGTAGGAACTGTGTTTCCTTCACATTACATAAATATCAATGAGCGAGCTTTCAGATTTTACCAGTTTTATACAAAATACTGATGCTTCCTTCTGAAATAAACTCTTACAGCAAATAACCTTTTTATAAGATCATGCATATTATGTGCTGTGATCTCAGGGGGGTTTAGATATACATACATATTATATATATACACATTTTTGGGGTACAGTGGTAACACATTTTGATTAGTCAGAAAACTTCTAAATGTTTTTCAGCAATGTAAATCATTGACCTTCTTGCCCTGTCTTTCCCCTTCCTCCCAAACCACAGTGTTCTGTACAGAAACAGTGTTGTGTCTAGCAAATGACCTCCTCATCTGACTTATCTCATACGGGTGCAAATGTAGCCAACTATCCTCCTGAAATTCCCCAAAAAATTCCTGTATGTTTGGTCCAGAAAAATAAGGAATTCACTTAGATTTTTGTGCCACTGGTTCCCTGACATTTTTATCAGGAGCATCAACCACCTGTGCATTACACTTTACATCAGTGAAAAATCCATTTACAGTGGTCAGAGCAACATGGTACACTGCACTTAGCTAACAGGTGAAGAAAGTGGAAACAGATTACCTGAAACAGCATATCCCAGCCTAAACTGACTTTTAGAGAAGGTACCAGATTGCTGGGCATTGCTTCCATCCACAAACATTCTCAAATAAAAAGTATTTTTTATTTTAGAACTCTGTCCTTCATGATACGCAAGGCACAAATATCCATCGAATTCAGTGTCTATATTATATATTGGGCATGAGGGAAGAAGATTTCTTTAGCAATTCATGTGAAAGTCATTTTATTTTATATTCAATTTGATGGCACCAGAGTTCAATGCTGATGCCAAAACCTAAAGCACAGGACTCATCCAATATCCTTTGGAATCAATGTGATTCTTAACACTAACTTCAGTGAAGACAGGATTTCTGCCTAATTTCTTTTTTTAAATAAAATGCATAGGTTATTACTATTTATACATTCTGATTACCTCTAGGATTCTGCCAGACTAAATTATGACAGTTTTCCTGCCTCCCAGGACAGTTTCTGTGAATCCCAAAAGCTTACACTTTGCATATAGTAATTATATCCAATAAAAAAATAGCATGAAGTGACTTCCGAAATCCAAAGGTCAAAAATCCAGCTAACATATATTAATCTTTATTATATAACAGTGATAGAATAAATAAGTTTATGGATTCATATGACTCGTACAAAAAGCCAAGAAGATATTGCCCCAAGTTAGGTACCAGCTATTTGGATTTAATATTTGTTAAACGTATGATCTAAAATTATGTACAGCTTTGAAGTTAAGGCAAAACCAGATGATACCTTTAACACAACAGTTTTGAAAAATAGACATAATTACAAACAAGGGGATCTCATCTCCAGCTAATAAAGTGGTTGTGTCTAAGGAAGGAATCCCTTAGGTTTTTAATAAAGCAGTTATTATCAATCATGTTGATTAAAATTAAATAACAGTGCAAGAGTTCCTGCAGGGCAAAGCTGTTTTGTAGTTGTGCCCGAATGACCACCTCTAATGCTGGTAAGAATGTTTTTCTTTATGGTTATAATCTGCTCTTCTCTTTAGGAAACATGGAAAAGAGGAATACCTTATTACAACTAAAATACAACTATAACCTCTTAGCTTTCTGTAGGCTAGACTTGATTGTGACTGGTGACAGAGCACAAATATGGTTGGTGAATCATCCAACACACTACACACAGAGGAGAATTAAAGTCAACCACTTATGAATAATTACCTTTCTCAAGACAATGGGATAGATTATGTCCGTTAAGTCCCAATGACAAAAACATGTATGACCAATATACCAATATACAGTTCTTTGGCAGCAACACACTAACTCTTGATTGAAGTCTGAACTCAAACTCTGCTAAATATAGACCTGGTTGCCAGTTTTTTCATAATTAAAGAAAATCCACTTCTCCCATGAATCCAATAAGTCCAGTAAATGAAATCAGAACAGATTTTGCAGGCAGCTTTAGACTGTAACATTAAGCATAGATATTTATTGTCTGCTTTAGTCCCAATCCAAATATATTGTATTTAAACACACAAAATTCTGTGAAACTTCTGAGTAGTTCAGATGGGGCCAAAATCCATAAAGAGAATCCATATTCACCCATGAAAAAAACAATAAAGAAACATCAATCCCATGATGATAAAATGCTCTTCATGTAACGGGGGCAATGATGAGTCCACATCTGGATGAATATCACAGGAAAATTGACTTTACAGGGGAAAGACCAGAAAGCCAGAAAACGTAGAATACTGCCATCCACCGACCAGATTACCTTTCTCCAATTTGAGGTAAACCTTATCCTCCTTGTCCAGATAGAGCAGGACTCCATTTGTGGCAGCTTCACGTGTGACATCCTTGTCCCCAGCAAAAGCAGAAATGACTGGCTTTCCATTTAGCATCAAATTAACCTACAAGAGAGAAAAAAAAACATTGAAAAGCTCTAATTAACAGAAAAACTCCAAGAACTACCACTGAATATTAACTACAAAGAGGTCTGCTAAGGTCCCAGTCTTCACTGTTTTTTGTTTTGTTTTGTTTTGAACTAATAATTACATTATTAGTATTTGGAGCATAAAAGCACATTCATGCTTCATGGGCTTGACCTGCAGCTGAGTTAAGTTGGTGGGACACTGTCTACCAACTGCTGTGGACCCGGCTTAGTCAGTGTGAAACATGACATTGCTTTCATCTGTTCATTGGGGCGTTAATTGTTGTTACTCCCTGGTAATATGCAACTGTGAGCTATTACCTCAGTTGGTTTCACTTTGCCTCATGGGTTATTTAGATATTCACTAACAAAGATATTTTCAAGAAACTCAAGGCACCCAGAGATGCAAGACAGGCACTTAATGAGATGTCAAAGGGGCTGCAGCAGTGTGCAAGTTTACATTTCATTGAAAGCAAAATATATGTCCCTTCCATTACTGGCAGTAGCTTAGTTTTAAGGTCTAGAACAGACCTTTAGCTTTAAGAACCACCACACTGTGTTTTGGTGCTGAATCCATTTTTCTACAAAGCACTTTTGAAAGTCAGCACAGCCTCTGCTCTGAACGCAGCATCACACAGACACTCTGTAAATAAAGATGGGCAGGGGCTGGGGGAATGGACAGATCCAGGCTTTTTTCATTTCCCCAGTGATGAGCTGTTATCTTTCTTCTGCTTTTCTTTTTAAGCAGCTATAATGCAGTCACAGAGGGGTGAATTATGAAATGCTTATTCATATGGAGTATGCTGGCCTTGCATATGCTCCCATTAATTTTAATGGGAGCCACCACAGAATACATTAGTGCTCAGCATAAGTCAGGGCAGCAGAATCTGGCCCTGATTTGGGATTTGCCTATCTGGGAAGTCTACTTAATCAGATGTCCCCAGGGAACCAATTTCTGTTTAATGATATGTAATGGCACTAACAGATGTTCCAGGGGCATAGTAATATCACTTCTGTAGAAAGCCTCCAGGTGATTTAGTGGTGGTGAAGTCTGCATGTGGCTGAGCCTCAAGCTGCTTAGCTCCACTGCGGTGGCTTTTGGTCCTCCCACTAGGTATGACACATGAAAGAAAAGGGCATCAAGAGTTTATTCATTGCTGGGTTTTGTTTTATCACATTCTTTCTGTACCACCTCTTTAGGTCAGGTTCCCCTGCAGATCATCTTACAGCTATTTTAATCGCAGCAGAAGAACACATCACAGGCTTGCACCAGGTAGTCTCACATCAACTATGCCAAATTTGGAGTCAAACCAAACTCATCCATCCCTTTAGGAACTCTTCGTATATGAAAGATTTCAAGCTGTGACACAGGTTGTAACACTCCCTGTTATGAGCCTCAAGCTCCCAGGTTTGAGTGCCTGGCATGTGAAACACCAGAGTCTGCACTGGACTTCCAGAAGACAAGCTTTGACATCTTTCTTGGCAGTATGTATTTTAAACCTAACGCAACTGGCTGACACACAGTTGTTTCATTCTAGGTTGTTTCAACCTCCAGCATTTAAGAGAGTGAAAGGAACAAAGTTTGAGCATATTAAATAGCTTATAAGCTCATTATAGAGATTTTCATGAGGTCAGTATTCCATTTAAGACTTTTGTCATTGACCTGAATGGATTCATGATTTCACATTGTAAACTGAAGGCAAATTTCACCAGGGATGTGACTGTGTCTTGCACCAGCTTGCTCAGCCATCGCTACCATTTACACTTTTCCCAGCAAACCAAAGCCAGAGCTGCCACAAAGAACTGGCTGATCTCTCCTCCTGCACAGATAACCATTTCATCCAACCTCGTACTGAAAACCACATTTGAGGACAAGACGAATCGGAGGAAAAGCATCAGAGACTTCTGTATATCCGGTGGTCTCATGGGTGGAAACAAGGGAAGCCACAGATGCTATTCCAGATCTAGAAAGCCAGTATGTGTGTCACAGAAATTGCATGACCTGGCATGAAGATTAAGTAATGCATTTTCAGGAATTTACTGCTAGCTCAGCAAGGGATGTTCAGGAACTTAGAGGCTTTTCCTTTAAGCTAGTGCATGCTTGTATTTGATTGCACAGTTCAGCTGCTGTTAAGCTACAGAAGAAAGTGTAGAATCACTTCTTAAAAAAAAAATATGACTTGTCTTTTCTGTATTATATGGTGAAAAAAAAGGTTTAAAGTGCTATAAAGGTTCCCTAGAAGACATCCCTGAATAAGTATAACATTTTGGTGTAGTTACAGAACAAGCAGACCACCTTAGCTAACCTTGGTGCGCATCAGACTGCTGTTAGACAGACACCCGACATCAGGAGCTGTCAGCCAGGTCACAGTTTGTTACAGAAATAGCCAAACCTGGTATGTATCCCCAGAACTCCTGTGCTCAAGACATTGAGTTTAACCTGTAGCAAAATATGACTCTTCATTAGTATTTACGCAATTAAGTTAAGAGCTCCATTTTACTCTTGGGTGATACAACCTATTTAATACTTTATGTCAACCCAGATACTCAGTTCTTACGCTGTAGAAGTGAAGCTGTGGCAATTTACTTGAGGTGAGGGTCCTGCCTTATAACAGCTGTTAAATGTATTCACAATTTAAATGTATTCACTCTACTGCTAGGAACTCTACACCACAGCACAGGTTGCTTTAAATTAAGCTATTTTGCCTAGAAAGTGTCTTAAATACTCCTGTGTTCAGTCAAGATCCTATTCTAAATCAACAATTTAAGTAAAAGTTTGTGTAAGCATAATCAACGTACCTGAATTGTTTGACTCTGATAGACTTTAATTACGTGAAAACTGAAACTGTAAATTCCTTTTCTTGGTGCTACAAAGACAGACTCCAACGTGAAAAAATTGCCCACGTTTACTAGGATCTACAAATGGAAAAATATAGCATGGAAATCAGTACAGGCAGTCAGTGCTAAGTAAAAAATACAGACTGTTAACTTTAGAAACCATGCACCCATGGAATTTTTTATCTACATCTATGCTGGTTTATTCATTCTCTTAATTAAGTTGGTATAATACTCATAAAATGAATATTTAATTGTATTGATAGTACAACTTTACTAGGGCAAAAATAGTTCTTACTTTGTTACTGTATCATAACTTCAAGACTTTCCTTCTATACATGTTTAGAGGAGATCAAGCAAAGGCATTTTTGTTTATCATTCCCCCAAAACAATACCAAAACCCTAACTCAGGGAGTGACATGCTGCTTTTAGCTAAGAAGCAACAGTCAAGTCAGCATTGTCCTCCTTAAAGTAACAAGCAGAGGAAGCATGTACATGAAGGATTCAATTCATTCACCACTTTATAGGCAGACTGCAATACCTGGCACATCTGAGCCACGACTGGCTGTGAGCTTTTGCTGCTTCATCTGGGTTTGTAAGCACTAGTAACAATTTGGGGTTGATTAAACAGAGACAAGTAACAGGCGGTGAACATATTAAGAGAGTCCATCATCCATATGTTAAATATCTTCTTTAATGACTAATTTTTTCTTTCTTTCCACATAGTTACACTTCATTTTTTCAATTGTTATTTTCAGGCTGCTTTATGCCAGACACAGCCCTGGAAAGCCACTAGAAATGTCTGTGAAGTTAAGGTAATTTACACTGCTAACAGTAAGCTGTGTGACATATCTGGCTTCAGTTGTCATGACAATTTACTGTCCATTACAGCGTGGTATGGTAAGAAAAATAACCACCAGTCTCAATTACTTTGGACTCGCCCTCAGACGGGAGCTGGTGTTTAAAATGTGTGCTGGCATCCCTAGGTTACTATTAGTGACTGAGATGAGAGAAGCTGTAGGTTGAACCTGATTGTTATGGAAAAATTAGATGATTTTTATTTAATTTTCGTTCTTTCCCCGGCACAGGCCGTCTAAAAATCTACATGGGCTTCTCTCACCTGAGAAAACACCTTCCCCATCCCTCCCAGGGCCACGTCCCCGCCTGGCATCCGGCGAGATCTGCCCCGCTGGGCTCGGGACCCGCTTCCTCCGCGGCCCCCAGGGC